GCCCTGGGGACAGAGTTTAAGGACTCTCGTTCCCGAAGTACATACAGGAGCAAGCCTCCTGCAAGGGTATGGCCCTGGGGACAGAGTTCAAGGACTCTCGTCCCCGAAGTACATACAGGAGCAAGCCTCCTGCAAGGGTATGGCCCTGGGGACAGAGTTCAAGGACTCTCGTCCCGAAGTACATACAGGAGCAAGCCTCCTGCAAGGGTGTGGCCCTGGGGACAGAGTTCAAGGACTCTCGTCCCCGAAGTACATACAGGAGCAAGCCTCCTGCAAGGGTTTGGCCCTGGGGACAGAGTTCAAGGACTCTCGTCCCCAAAGTACATATAGGAGCAAGCCTCCTGTAAGGGTATGGCCCCGGGGACAGAGTTCAAGGACTCATCCCCGAAGTACATACAGGAGCAAGCCTCCTGCAAGGATGTGGCCCCGGGAACAGAGTTCAAGGACTCTCGTCCCCGAAGCAAATGCAAGAACAAGCATCCATAAAGAACATGGTCCTGGGAACAATACACAAGCACTCCAGTCCCCAGAGTGGATATAAGATCTTGCCTCCGGAACAGGCCAGCACACCCCAAAGACAGTTCAAAGACACTTATGATTTATGCTACACAGAAGTAAAGAAAAGCAAAACACTACTGTACACAGAAGAAGGAAAGAAAAGACTTGTTAGTTATTTCCAAAAATAGGGGCTTTGCGTCCCCGAAGGCTACAAAAGGAAAGCAGAAGGGGTACAATCAAAAAAAAAAAAAAAAGAGAAAAAGAAAAAAAAGAGAGAGAAGCAGCTTCATTGGGCTCCAGGCACCTCCAGAACTTCGGCCGAGGGCGAGTCAGCGATAAATGGTTGAGAAGCTTCTGGAGCGGGCAGGAGAAGAACTTCGGCAGCTGGAACAGCTTGAACAGTTTGAGCAGCTTGAGGTTCAGGAGCATGATCCGACGGAGCGTCCTCGGACAAGTCCACTATCACCGCCTCAGGAGCATCAGCCGAGGTCTGCATCGGCGTAGGGGCTTCATCCTCGGCAGCAACCTGTGCTTCTGCCTGTGCCATCTCTGCCGAGGGCACATACTTGTGCACTTGGAAGAGAGGGGAGTCTGATGGGACTCCAGCAGCCTGGAGTGCCTCGTCCCACCCTTTCTTGAAGAATTCTTTACTGTTTTCTTCGAGAGCGGGGAGGACGTCATCGGCAAACTCCTCCAGGAGTTGTTCCTCCGACTTCCGGTTCAGCTCCTCGGCTCTGATCCTGTCTAGCTCCTGGGTAAGGGCCAGACAGCTTTCCTCGGAGCCCACTGCCCTCTCCTCCGCAGCAGAGAGCCGCTGCGTTTGCTCAGTAATCCTCCTCTCAGCATCGGCAAGTGCGGCACTTAGCTTTTCAGCGCCCACCTTGGCCGATTCAGCGTCCTTGAGGAGCTGCTCTATTTGGACAGCCTGCCCCACCAGGGTAGAATCCCTGGCAGCAACGTCTTCCGTTGCCCGAGCAAGGGCCGCTTCCACCTCCGCCTTCTGATCCCGGGCCCTCTGGAGGTCCATCCTAGACGCGTGGTACCGAGCAGCAATGATAGAAATCTGCTGGGTAGCCTGCAAAGGAAGGAAAAAATGTTAAGTCACCGAAAGGGAAAGCAGGAATGAAAGGACCAAAGCAAAAATAAACTCACCACCAGGGAATTCTGGATCATGGAGCGGAACAACACGTTTGTTGATCGACCCCTATGAGCCGCCATGTCGGCCTCAAAATGCAGTGTCTCACTCACTGCATGGGCGACATGAGGATCCTGCAGGAGGGAATCATCGACCCTGATCACTCGGCTCATGTGATCAGTGGCTCGGGAATTCCACTCCGCAGCCTCCACTGTAGACGGAAGGGAGGGGGTAGTCTGCTGCTGTGGTTGCTGTTGATGAGGCCGTTGCTGCTGCTGCTGTTGTGTGGGAGCAGGGGGTAACCCACGGCCCCTCCCGCTTTGCTGCTGAGCGGGAGGCGCCCTAGGTCCTCGGCTAAGGCCATCGTGCCGATGCTTCACCCTCCTCTCCTCCTCCACCTGAGGGTCCCGGTCTTGCACCTGACCCCGATCAGGAACCCTTGATGATGGGGCAGAACTGGTCCCCGCTGAGGAGACGCCGCCGGTCGTTCCTCGACCTCTCCCGGCTGCAAGGGCCTGCCTCTGCCTCAAGAACCCGAGGTCGATACGAGGAGTATTTGACATCGCGACTTCAAGCGCGTCCTCGGCGTCCAAAGATTGAAGGATTTGAAAGTCAGGCCACAAGTCTCCTCCCGGAGTCCCCACCTCGGCGTCTGAAGGAGCAACGTCCTCTCTGACCCCGACCTCTTCAGCAACTCCCTCGACCTCCCCCTCTGAAGCCTGATCCGGGTCTTCCTCCAAGTTCTCCTCGACCTCTAGCCTCGCTGCCTGATCGAAGAGCTCTGACCACTGCGAAGGCTCGAAAGGTTGAGGAAGCTGTGAGAACTTCTTATACCCGGGGGTATAGTATAGCAGATTATGAGCAGCTCGGCCGAACTCGTCGGCACCCGTGAAACTCCAAACCGTAACTAGGTCGGCAAAGTTCACCAGCGACCGAGGAGGTGGAGCTGTTTCCCGAGAAGGAATATCTGCACAACAAAAAAGATTGTCATAAACATGAGAAGTCCCGAGAAACAAATAAAGAACCCGAAGGAACCGACGTACTTGTCGTTCTCCATTCCAGAGGGCAAAATAAGTCATTGTACTCGGGACCAACACCCCTCTCCCAACATCCCTTGAAGATTAAGATGTCGTCCTTGTACCCCTTGTCCGAATCAGGAAGATGGGTTACAAGGTACATGGAGGGGTCCCTGGCTTTGAGGTAGAAGTGTTGGTGAGGCATGACTCTTAGGAGGGAGTAACAGAAAAAGAGATCATTGAGCCCAATATTCACCCCGAGGCGCCTATTGAGTTCTAAGACCCCCATGATTATTCGAAAGACGTTGAGGCAGCATTGCCCGGGGAAGAGACGAAAGCGAGACAGGAACTGAAGAAGCAGGGGGGTAAAGGAAACCTAATTCCACCCTCTATGATGGCCTTGGTATAGAAAGGCATGGCATCCGCGGCCCCGAAGGTAGATGATTGCAACAATGGGTTAAAATCCACTACGTCTACACTCGGGGGAATGTCGTACTTGATCCTAAACCTATCGATCTGCTCCTCGCCCTTCACCTTGTATTTCCCTGACCCCGAGGGACCAGCCGGTGGATTCTCGGGAGCAGGGCGACGACGAGGCATCTCTAAAAGGAAAGGAAAAAGAGCCATTTAAGGATTATGGAGATCATTGAGACCACATTTGACTAGAGTATATACTGAGGTATCATGTGTTATGCTTACTTGTAGCTCACCCTTGCCAATTATGCACAATCCCTGTTTGGGTTTGCCCACTTGTACACTCACTGGGATCTATGCATCCTAGATTGAGATGTTAATTAAAAAGTTTGATGCCTTGGAGACTGTTAGCACATGGCTTACTAATGGTAATGAACATCAAGTACTGGGGAAGTACATATCTGTATGCATATTTTTAGATTATAATGGAGTTTTATTTTCACAATTAAACACGAGCACATGCCCAAAGAAACCATGAGCAAACCAGTCCCCATATCTCGATTACATCCCAAGAACCGGATCGAAAAAGTGCTGCATCATGATGCAAATTGAAGTGAGAAAGAAAACTAGGGAAAATTAAACAGGAGCAAACGCCCAAAGAAACTGATGGGACTCTTCTGAAAAGCCCTAAGATGAAGACACGTGTCCTCGGGGTTTCTAGAACAGTGTTGCTCGGATTCAAGCACCATCGGCAAAAAGTGTCCTCTCCCCCGAGGTACCTCTCATTGAATCACGCATTCGGTGTATTATACAAACAACACGTGTCCTCGGTCACCCGTGTGCCTCGGAAACATACCACCCTCGGTCCCCGAGGTGAGCCTTTCCTCGGTGCCGAGGGTCACTCCATCCTGGACGCTTCCTCTACTCGCGGATAAAGCTACTGACGTACGGGACATCAGCCTATGTCAGTCTAGACTATTCATCATGACCTCGTCTTACACAAGTAATGTCAGAGCATACCGAAATACAGTAAACACAGCCAGTAAGGGATGGACGCGTGGCAAATGATGTCACATCAAAGACAGACAAACTGCACGACGTTACTGACACTTGGCTTGGGAAGGCAAACAATTAATTGCACCCTTCTGTTGACGAGACCGCATTCAATGCGGTAAGGTTAGGATATGAAAGACAATAAATGCTCCTATTACAGAGCAGTTATTGCATCCTTCCCGAAAGGAGCATATTGTACCGTCGGCGTCCCGACGACTCAGCATTGATTGCTCGGGACCCCGAGCAGTCAATTAGAGAAGACATTCCTCATCAAATCAATACACACGCTACCTGTGCCTGATGATCATCTACTGACCGCACTGACAGCAATCATGAGCTTTTAAGGTATAAATACTCCTCCCAAAAGGCAAAGCGGGTATGCAATCACGAACTCCCTACTACAATACAGACTTTCTCAGTGTTTTCTTCTTCCTCTCTCTCATTCAAAGACTGACTAGACCGTCGGAGGGGATACGCCGGAAAACACTCCGGCACCCTTCTAACTTGTTCCTCTTTATTCCAGGAAAACCTTTCAGACATACAGGATCGTTCTTCCTTTCCCAGGATCTTCTTCTGCCGTTCCAGGTTGCCACCGTACCTTGCAGGCCGTTTCAAGCAGAGTGTTTGGCCACTCAACCGGCTCACTCAAAGTTCACCAGGGGAGAGATCTGTTCCCAAAATTCTTTATATTGTGCAGGATCTTGCACGCACAGAAACCATGGGCAAACCAGTCAAAGAAAACAAGGGAAAATAAAACAAGAGCAAACGCCCAAAGACACCATGGGCAAACCAGTCCCCATATCTCGATTACATCCCAAGAAGAGGATAAAAAAAAATGTTGTATCATGATGCAAATTGAAGCAAGAAAGTAGACAACTTCTTACTGGCAATCTGAAACTGGAGAACTGAACCAAGTTTTTTCAAGATGTCTCCACGAAAATGTTTTCGACTTCCCATTTATGAAACTCTCCAGAAGAAGCTGCAGAAAATGAAAGAAAGAATTGCAACAACCATTTCAACCTACTTGAAAGTTTTAACACTGATTTTGTACCAGCAGCCGAAGGATTGTTAAAACTGTTACACATATCATATGCTTCTTATCTAATACCACAGGGACAGCATATTCCCAATGCTGATCAACAAAATTCACTTCCAGGAGCTCATTGCCCATTGCATATCCTGAAAGGTTCATCTTGATCTTGCACAAAATGAATGGCATCAATGTTATGCCTGAGAGGCAGAGCCCCCTGATTGTTGTTGGCTCCATGTCTTGTTAGTTAATTAGGTCCATAATCCCTTGGAGGTCCACTTTAGCAACTTTGTCCCACCTCCCACTTTCTTTAAAAATGAGCCAACAAAGCTCGGTTCATGTCAAGACAGACTATCTAATCTTTTCCTTTCATTCCTGGTTTGTAAGGAACTCCTCCTATTGTAAAATATTACTGCCCTCCGGAGAGACATAAGTTAATGATCCTTATTGATGGGACATTTCTAAATACTCCAAGATGAAGACACATGTTCTCGGCATCAGTAAATTCTTGTTACTATAATCACGACACGTACCCGTCGGATCGCAAGTCCCTGTTCTCCCGAGGTACTATTCATAGGGATCAATGACACCCAGTACGTTACGTACCGACACGTATCCCTCGGTCGAATATGGGTACATCGGTCCCTATATGTACCACTCCCCTCGGTACCGAGATGTACCCGTCCAGGATGGCGTTCTCTGCTCCTGCAGAGGCTATTGATGTACAGGTCACTAGTCTAGGCTAGGCTAGGTTAGTCATCATGACCTCGTCTTACACAATTGGTGTCAGAAGGCACGGGAAGGCAGAAGACACAACCAATAGGGAATGGGCGCATGACATATTATGCCACATCAGAGACAAAAAGACCGGATGCCCTTGCTGACACACGACTTGGGAAAGCAAGCATTTAATTACACCATTCCCTTTATGAGACAGCATTTAATGCGGTAAGGCTCGAAGTGAAAGGTAATAAATGTCCCTAAGACTGGGCATTTATTACATCCTTGCCGAGAGGAGCTCATTAAACAGTCGGCAGGCCGATGACGCAGCCTTGGTTGCTTGGGATCCCGAGCAGTTAAAAGAGAAGACATTTCTCATAGGAATCAGTGCGCACGTTGCCCGTATCTAATGATCACCTACTGACTACACTGACAGCAATCATGAGTTTTTGAGGTATAAATACTCCTCACAAAAGGCAAGACGGTATGCAACGACAAACCTTTTCTCAAACCTATACTCAGTGTTTTCTTCTTCCCCTCTCTCAAAAATTGACTTGATCGTCGGAGGGGATACGCCGAAAAACACTCCGGCGCCCTTCTAACTTGTCTTTCTCTGTTCCAAGAACCTCTCTCAGCCTTACTGGACCGCTCCCTTGATCCACGAAAGTCACCCATTACTGTTCCAAGTGACCAACGGATCTCAGCCAGTTCCAAATAGCAAGGTCGACCATTTGATTGACTGACTCGAGTTCACCACGGGAGAGATCTGTTCTCGTGTTTATATTGTGCAAGATCTTGCACACACAATCTGGCACCGTCTGTGGGAAACGACTAGTTTTCCTAGTTTCTTCTCTATAAAGAACAATGACCATGGTGAATACTTGACAAAAAGGGAAAGGTCCCCAACAAAGAAGTCTTGAATTACGAGCTCCATGTCATAATGGAGGGAGAGATCACACTGATGGGAATAGAAATGCCTCTATTCACTCAAGAGGGCTTACTCCTCAAACCAGTATGGGCATCAGGTCAGGAGGATCCACCCCCTTGGCTCGTCAACTGGCGGAGGTGATCGAAGAAAAGTTTGGGGATCGATTATGACAGTTGGAAAAAGACAATGTGAACGTCCTAAGCCGGCTTAACAAATTCGCTGCCTCCGGCGAAGGGTCGAGGGACTCATTCCTTTCTCATGGACTCCCCACCCGGGAGGCTGAAACGAAGGATCTAAGGAATCATTTAAATAACAAGGCAGAAAGCACTAGGGCCCCAAAGCGACCAAGAGCTAACGAACACCCTCTTAACGACCATTCCAGGAAGGCAAGACCTTTAGCCCTGGACGACCTCCGATGAGGATTGTCAAGGCGGAGGAAAGGAGATGAGTCCGAGGAGGATTCCCCTACCCACATGACGCCCAGGAAATTGGGGACTTATTGATGAACTCGGAGACTTCAAAAGACATCTCGTTGGAGAGAAAATTGATCTTAGAGCTCGGTTGGAATCCAGGAGAAAGAGTAAGGCTGTCTAGGATGAGGTCGAAGACGAGGTCATACAAACACCCTTTACCAGGGATATCGGAGAGATGGAGGTTCCAAAAAAGTTCGTCGTGCCGAGGTTCAAAACTTATGATGGGCGGTCTGATCCCGAAGCCCACCTCAGTCAATACAAACAAATGATGTCCCTGTATCATTCAGACTAACGGTTCCTCTGCCGAGTGTTTCCTATGAGCTTGGGGGACTCTGCGATGAAGTGGTTCGAGGTGCTTTCCCCCAACAGCATTGGATCATGGAAAGAATTGACGAGGCAGTTCTTGGCCCGATTCATTACGGGGAGTAAGCGGCCTAAAAACATTGGATCATTGCTAACGTTCAGATGGAGGGAATCCGAGACCCTTCACCAATACGCCATCCGGTACTGGGAAGAGGTTAATGAGGTAGAGGGCTGCTCAGAAGTCATGGTAGCGGCGTCTTTCAGGCTCGGCTTGGCAAGGGACACGAACCTATACCGATCCCTGACCAAAAAGACTCCCTCGGATATGGGCGAGTTGATGGCCCGGATAAACAAGTACTCTAGGGTCGAGGACGAGATGGAAAGCAGCAAAGGCAGAACCCTCCAACCTAAGAGAAAAGAGAGGGAGCGGGAAGATACTTCCCGAAAGGGATTGCTACCCCCTCTGGGGGGTCATTCAAAGGAGTTCACACTATGTTCAAAGAACCCATCTACAAGTTGCTCCATAAGATCAAGCGTGAGCCATTCTTCAAGTGGCCACCCAGGATGCAAAGTGATCCCTCCACCCGTGATCAAAAGGTCAGGTGTTCCTATCACCGGGATTTTGGCCATCGCACCGAAAGCTGTAAGGTATACAAATCTTTCTTGGAAAGATTGGTCTGAGACGGATACTTAAAAGAATACATAGAGCCCAGGCCAGAAGAGAGACGCAACCCTGTCACGATCGAGAAGTCGGACAACGTCATAGATGTGATCCATGTATGTCCGCTAGATCGCCCCACGTCCAAGGAACTCGAGTCCGATCTCAAGAGGGTAGCTTTTACAAGAAAGATAGTCAAGAATGATGGAGGGCCACCCAGTAAAAGAGCCAGGATTGGCGAGCCGAGCATCACGTTCTCGACGCGGACTTGACGGACGTGGTGACTCCTCATAACGACGCCCTTGTCATAACCCTGAAGATAGGCAAGTTCGACGTCAAGAGGGTGTTGATAGACTCTGGAAGTTCCTCGAAAGTGATGTACTCTGACACTTTAAAACGGATGGGTCTTGGCCACAAGGACCTCACCAAGGTCAGGACACCCCTCATCGGATTCAACGGCTCGTTCGCCCTGCCCATAGGCAAAATCACATTGCCAGTTGTCACAGGTCCCTTCACCATCAACACCGAGTTTGTCGTGATTGATACGGACTCTCCCTACAATGTGATCATGGGACGAGCATGGCTGCATGCGTTGGGAGCGGTGCACTCCACTTATCACCAGAAACTGAAATTTACCACGCCAGAGGGGATCATGGAGATCCGAGGGGACCAAGCGTCCGCAAAAAATTATTTTTATTCAGCTGTTAGAGCAGGGGCTTTCACCCAAGAAAAGGGGCGCGCTCCGGAAGAGATCCTGGAAAAATAGCAATCACAGTCTGGGCGTCCAGGAATGGATGACCCCCGGATTGACCCGACAGAACGGTCGGTGGAAGACCTCCGAAAGGTGCCCTGGTGGAGGATGAGGAGGAAAGATACTTCTTAGTTGGAACTGCGATGCCCACAACCGAACAGGAGGAGATGATTGAGTTCCTGAGAGAAAATTCAGACGTGTTCGCTTAGAACGCAATGGAAATGACGGGAGTGGACCCCGAAATAATCACACACAAGCTGCATGTTGACCCTGCGCATAAGCCAGTAAAATAGAAACCACGACGCATGGCCCCACACCACGCTCGCACGGTCAACGAAGAGATCGATAAACTCCTGGAGGCCAACGCCATTCGGGAAGTACAGTTCCCAGAATGGCTGTCTAACACGGTCTGCGCAAAGAAAAAGGTGGGAAAATGACGTGTCTGCGTAAACTTCACTGATCTAAACAAGGCATGTCCTAAGGACGACTACCCTCTACCAAAGGTGGACCAGTTAGTGGATGCCACTGCTGGATATGAACTCATGGACTTCTTGGATGCCTGAGCAGGATATCACCAGATCCTTCCATCTCCCGGATCAGGAAAAGACGACGTTTATCACTCCGAAGGGAGTTTACTGTTACAAAGTGATGTCGTTTGGGCTAAAGAACGTTGGGGCAACATACCAAAGACTGATGAATCGGATGTTCAAAAAGCAGATCGGCAACACCATGAAGGTCTACATTGACGATATGCTGGTGAAGAGCAAACGAAGCTGTGACCACCTGGTAGATTTGACAGATACCTTATCCACCCTTAGGAAGTACGGGCTGAAGCTGAACGCTGCAAAGTGCATTTTCGGAGTAGAGTCGGGTAAATTTCTCAGATATTTGGTGAGTCAGCGAGGAATCGAAGCTAACCCAGATCAGATTCAAGCGATCCTAGACATCCAGAGCCCCCGAACTGTCCGAGAAGTCCAAAAGCTCACAGGGATGCTAGCATCACTTAACCGTTTCGTCTCACGCTCCTCAGACAAATGTAAATCCTTTTTTGGAGTCATCAAGAGGGCTGAGAAGGATATGTGGAGCCAGGGGTGCGAAGACGCCCTGGCTAGAATCAAGGAATACCTCAGGACTCTCCCAACCCTATCCGTCCCTATCCAGGGGGAAATGTTCTTCTTGTACTTATCCGTATCAGAATTTGCCGTCAACGGGGTACTTATTCATGAGCATGAACATTGCTAGAAGCCAATTTATTACATAAACAAGGCACTCCTAGACGCAGAAACAAGATATCTGCCCCTAGAGAAACTGACTCTATCCCTGGTCACAACTGCAAGAAAACTAAGGCATTATTTCCAGGCGCACCTAATTACCGTCCTTACTGATCAGCCCTTAAAGGCCATT